CCTGCTCTCTATTTGCCAACAACACTAGTAGTCGATTTTCACAATACTCCATATATATAAATTTTTTATCGTTAGATGTGTATGTGGCCTAGCGATGTCTTGGTGGAACACGACACCTCTCCTGTTGGCCGTTTCTGGTCAATTGCGTTTAGCGTTTGGCTATATGTAATCAACCATAATAAATAATCCCATTCCAATCCCACCATATGCATAGCAGAACTTTCCTGACCGTTAATGATGGTTTGACCACCGTTTGAGGTGCTTCACTGCTCTTTGACCGCGATCGCACAGGGGTATCGTATGTGATTTATTGCCCATCTCCAGTCACCATCCGTTTATGAAATTGGTCAATCTCATTCCGTTTGGTCAAAATTTCGCAGATGGAAATTCGACCGATCCTATTTTTTTGTTGAATGGTGTGGCGCCCAAACATGGAGCTTCTTTTTGAAGCTTTGTGTAAATGGTTTAAAACAGTTATATGGTAGATTTTTTGCTCATGGGCGATGTTACGACTGCTAACATGCATGTCAACTTCGATCATTTCTCCGATTTTGTCTACATTTCCGACGACCGGCCTAATAGATTTATTTTTCTAATATTATATTTACAAAGCCTAGATCAAATCTGAATATGGGACCAATTGGTCCACTCCTTCTGGGCAAAAATTCAAATATTTATAAATCCCATATCTGGCAAATGGAGTGTCCGATTTGAAGCAAATTGTGGACAACCTATTATCTTTATCAAGCCTAGATCAAGTGCGAAGACAGGACCTCTCACTCCTTGTGGTACGGAGTAGGTACCTCACTCCTTGTGGTACCTACTCCGCAATGGGTCAACATTTGCAATATTTACAAATCCAATATTCGGCGAATGGATTTAAATGGATTTAAACCAAACTTTGCACAACCTATTATATATACCAATACAAGATCAAGTTAGAAGATGGGACACGTTGGTCCACTCCTTCTGGTACACCCCCCCACAAATACACAAAATGTCCAATATTTATAAATCTAATATTAGGCGAATGGAGTGTTCGAATTGAGCCAAACTGTGGACAACCTATTAAATCTATCAAGCCTTTATCGTAGATGGGACCTACTCCTTCTGGTACCTACCCCATAAGAGGACAAACATTTTATAAAATTATAAATATAATTTTGATAAAAACGTATACCTCGACAACTACAATTGTCGCCGTCAGTTCGGAGTGTTATGGTCATATGATTTTAACAAAACGGTGCACCCACCACACATCTCAAGCAAATATGGTTACTTGCAAGAAATATTTCCTGACCGCGTAATTTCTCTTTGTGGCGATATCAACTGGCCACCAAGATCAAGCGATTTGACACCATTAGATAAACCATATGATAAATCTTGAACTTTTGAGCAATAAGAAACCAAAGATTCGTCAAGTTATGGCTGAGGTACCTCCTAATTTTGAGTCAAAAATTACCTTAAAATCAACGATTTATAATAAAACCAGTGAGCATAGCAGTATAGTCAGACGGGGCCGACCATACGATACCCTACACAACTTCCACGGAACACAAACTTTCCGCGGATTTTTATTCTGAGCCTGGGTAATATTTCGCGATATTTGCACCCTACAGCCCGAGTAGAGGTCAATAGCAACTTTTTTTACACAGACGTATATTCCGAATATTACTAATATTCAGTACAGCCCCTATAATTGCTTGTCTAGATTCCTTTCACCGGAGGCTGAGTTGAGATGTTCAGCTTACAATTGTGGCCTACATATTGACTCGAAAAACAAACAAAAAATTAAGTTTTCGGTCCACTTCATCCCAAAATTATTACCTGATCATCACCGAAAATTATAGGCGTTGTCCTTAACCATACCTGGACACTCATGGAGAGTTTCAAACCGATCAGCGCTATATTTTCGCCCTCCAGTGTGGTAATTGGTTACTAAATAATATTTCAGAACGTAAGCACCTGTAAATATTTAAGTGTTACTCCCATATAATTGGTATCAATTTAAAGGTCAACCACTCCTCTTGGATATGCTATCAACTTTTTGGGTCTTTGTTCTTCAGGGGTAAATATACACGCTATAGAATACAAATTTTGTCATTTTTCACACAAAAGTCAGGGTCAATATTGACCGATCTTTATCAAAACAGGCATGGTTATTCTCTGGCCCGATCCCCTTCTCCATGCAAAAATTCGCGATGTTTGGGCCATAATTGCGGCTTCTAGAGCGACCAGAAAAACAGACAAAAATAAAGTTGTTGGTCCATTTCATCGCCTAAATATTAACCGATGTTTTCCAAAAACAATAGGGGTCTTCATTGGTCAGAACCCATCCTACATGCATAATTTCGTGAAGATTTGTCCATAACTTTGGCCTGTATCGTGTTTACAAATTATAATGGACAGATGGACGGACACACATGTCTAGATCGACTCAGCTAGTCGAGATAATGGTGGGTCTAGGACCAATATTTCGCGGCGTTACAAACTTTTGGGGCTGCACAAAGCTATAATACCCTGACAACATAGTTGTGTACGGTATAAATTTTTAATGTACATCACATAATATGGGGTATAAAAGTTCAATCGGCCCAAAACAACCAGGTTTTTATTATAATAGGGGATACACATCGTATCGACCTGGCCGCTCTTCTCGCCATTTTTTCTATAATGTGAATACGATTTTTCCTACTTCAAATTATGTGAATACAGCTTTAATCGGTTGATTGCAGCCTCTACTGAAATGAGGTTTTTATTGTCTCAATATCCGTTTCAAAAATTATGTTATCTGTATCTATCCCGCAAAATATGTTATTATTATCGCATTACTCACAGATTTGAGTAATAATGAATTTCCTCTTCAATTTCAGTGTATTTTATTGAAAGTCCACATAGTATCGAAGTTATCTACATCTTATCCTACATCTGGGAAAATGACGATTAAAAAATTTATCAACGATTACAAATTTATAAATGTTTGTGTACTCTTTGCAATATAAAACCAGTAAGGAAAGTAGTAAAGTCGGACGGGGCCGACTATATGATACCCTTCAACACTATGGATATATTAAACAGGACTATTAACATGAAATTGGATGAAATAAAATATGTGATATTTATCTAAATGTGAATCTACCTATATATCCATAAGTTATATAAATCGACTTCAATCAAATATAAATAGGTTATCTGTTGGGCTATGTCTGTACTTCTAGAAAACGCAACTACGTAATTCTATGCTCAATTTTGTACGTTGTGCAAAATTTGATGTCAACCTGACTAGCATGAAGAGTTTGATGTCCAATTTACTTAAAATCGGGCGAAAATATATATGGAAGCTCTATCCAAATATATCGAAGGATATATAGGGACTTTGGTGCACCATTTACATGAAATCGGACGAAACTATATCTGAATCTGGGCCGATTTTCTCGAAATTGGGCAGACATCATTCTAGGCTCAATTCAGTACGTTATGCCAAATTTCCTGCAAATCGAAAGATATATAGGGACTTTGGGGCACCATTAACATGAAATCGGACGAAACTATATATGGGAGCTATATCTAAATCTGGACCGATTTTCGCGAAACAGGGCAGACATCATTCTAGCCTCAATTCAGTACGTTATGCCAAATTTCATGCAAATCGAAAGATATATAAGGACTTTGGTACACCATTTACCTTAAATCGGAGGAAGATATATACGGGAGCTATATCTAAATCTGAACCGATTTTCACGAAACTTTGCACACATCATTCTAGACTTAATTCAGTGCGCTATGCCAAATTTCGTGCAAATCGAAAGATATATAGGGACTTTGGTACGCCATTTACCAAAAATCGGCCGAAACTATATATGGGAGCTATATCTAAATCTGAACCGATTTTCACGAAACTTGGCACACATCTTTCGTGGCTCAATTCAGTACGCTATGCCAAATTTCGTGCAAATCGAAAGATTTTCAGGGTCTAAAGTCCGTAAATCGGGCGAAACTATATATGGGAGCTATATCTAAATCTGAACCGATTTTCACGAAACTTGGCACACATCTTTCGTGGCTCAATTCAGAACGCTGTGCCAAATTTCGTGCAAATCGAAAGATTTTCAGGGTCTAAAGTCCGTAAATCGGGCAAAAATATATATGGGAGCTATATCTAAATCTGAACCGATTTTTCCCAATTTCAATAGGGTTCGTCCTTGGGCCAAACAAATGAGCTGTGCCAAATTTCATCCAAATCGGATCATAAATGCGACCTGTACTTTGTTTACAATTTAACACCAACAGACGGACAGACGGACATGCATAAATCGATTCAGAAAGTGATTCTATGCATATTCTCAAAAGGAACCATGGGTCTATCTCGATTATTTTTGCCTGTTACAAACATATGCACAAAGACATAATACCCTGTACCACAGTGTGGTGAAGGGTATAAAAAGTAATATTTGGCCAGGTGTGCCAGCACCCTTTACACCTAACCAATAACCTTGTTTAGTTTTTTATGATTTATATAAATATTGGAAATTTCCGGCAATGAAAATTTCCGATGCAATACTGCTATTACTCCCCAATATCCCATCATACAAATATTCAATAAGCCAGCTCTAGGAAAAACACACCAATCTGCCCCCTCAAAAATAATAGGATAAAATATCATAAAAAAAAAACAATAAAATCCATTAAAATAACAATTTGTCACGTCATGCACACACCGCAATGCCCAATAAAATTAAATTTACTTTTCGTTTTTTTACATTAATTTATTTCATTCACTGCGATGGTAATCATCGTACTTGTCGACGCGTTTTGTTTTTGCATAGCAAAACTGTTTTTTCGTTAATGTTTTTGTTGTTTCTTCGAGAAAATATCATTAATTTCAATTGACTATGTTGTTGTTGCCGTTTTTGCTGTTATTGTTAATGTTATTTAATTTTCTTATTCTTGTTACACTTGATGGAAATTTAATTTCGTATCTTGTTTTTTTTTTCTTACAGATGGTTACCCAAATCCGCTATGAGGCCCGTGGGCCCCGATACCTCACACAACGATTGCATACTGGTCGTTGGTGTTTCCCGTCCCAAATTAGCCGTAGCCTTTCTTACCGTTATGCTGATATCCTTATTTCTGACATTTCATGTGCTGTACGACAGTGCGGTCTATAATATTCAAGCGGCTCAGGCGGTCCATGAACATCGTCGTTTGGCTTTAATCAATTCCAATGGTATTAGTGGTTTGCCACCGGGTGTGGGTGGCAGTGGTGGTGTCAATGGCGGGGTAGCCGTTAATGGTAATCGCTTTAATCATCTGCCCGAGGATTACACGCATAATAACAAGCATGCGGGTGATATATCATCATTATCATCGGCATCATCAGCATTCTCGTCGTCGTCTTCGTCATCATCATCGTTATCAACGCCCAATCAACAGATAAGTCATCCAATGGTATTCCCTTCGAATCGTGTACATTTCCCCAAAACCAGTCGCCGTTTGCCACAGGTAAGTTCAATCGTTTGATTGCTGTTGTTGTTGTTATTACAAGACATATTGATATAATAAACTATAACCTACTTCTCGGATCGATTATTTAAATAAAACCAAGCGATTTCAGTTGCGATAACAACACCAAAGTGAACAACAGCTTGTGTTTATTTAAATGAAATTCAATGAAAAAAATATTGTTTACGCAGTCTAATTAAATCACAAGAATTCAATCGAGTAATGTCGTTGCAAGTTGAAACGACTTGGTGGCGTATGAATAATAAATAAACCGAATTAATAAATAACGAATACGCCGTTATGGAATTAATGTCTTTTTTTTTTTGTTTTGAAACCAAAGCATGTAAACAATAAATCTTGAGTACAAAAATTTAAATGATTTACATAAGAAGTTAATTAATACCAATTAAACCTATATCGAAAGTTCAAATGTCGCACGGGGCCGACTTATGATACCCTTCACCACTTTGGATTCATACAAGAGATGTTAATATATACAATATCCTGTACATAGAACAGACATAGCATCTTTGGAGGATCATTAAGATGGAATCGGGCGAAATTAAATGTGTGATCTACATAGATATTTGAACTAATAAAAAAATCTCATACACATACTATTCTGAAGTCAATTAAAAATTGCATATAAAACGGACAGAATTGGAGTCTTTGGTGTACCATTTGTATGAAATCGAGCTTAATTATGTATGGAAGCTATATGTAAAGATAGGCCGAATTGAGCAACTGTTGCGTACTTTTTTTTTGCAAATTTAATACACACCATTCTAAACTCAATTTAATACCCTCTGCAAAATTTCATGTAAATCGAATAAACATAAGCTCTTCGAGGCAACATTTACATAAAATCGGACGAAAATATTAAGTTGGGGAAAAGAAATCGGAATTGACCGGCATGTTAGCAGTCGTAACATCGCCTAATAGCTGAAAATCAATCACAAAACTGTTTTAAAACATTTTCACAAATCTGGATTCAAAAAGAAGCTCGATGTTTGGGTGCCACACCAATTAACAAAAAAAAAAAAAAAAACAGTAAGGAAAGTAGTAAAGTCCGACGGGGCCGACTATATGATACTCTTCACCACTTTGGGTATATTCAACAGATGAATCCTATCAGACGTCGCATTTTTAAAGGACCAGTAAAATGAAATTGGATCCATAAACATGCCATTCTGCAACCGATACTAAATTTTTCATTTGGTCAGATATAGAAGCTATATCTAAATCTGAACTGATTTCAGGAAACTTAACACACATCATTCTAGACCTAATTCATTACGCTGTGACAAATTTCGTGCAAATCGAAAGATATATAAGGACTTTGGTACACCATTTACCTTAAATCGGACGAAAATATATGTGGGAGCTTTATTTAAGTCTGAATCGATTTTTCGGAAAAATAATACACATCATTCTAGGCCTAATTCATTACGGGAAAATAAATATGGGAGCTATATCTAAATCTGGACCGATTTTCACGAAACTTGGCAGACATCACTCTAAGCTCAATTCAGTACGTTATGCCGAATTTCGTGCAAATCGTAATATATGTAGCGACTTTGGTGCACCATTTACATAAAATCGGACGAATTTATATATGGGAGCTATATCTAAATCTGGACCGATTTTCACGAAACTTATCAGACATCACTCTAAGCTCAATTCCGTACGTTATGCAAAATTTCATGTAAATCGAAAGATATATAGGGACTTTTGTGCGCCATTTACCTTAAATCGGACGAAAATATATATGGGAGCTATATCTAAATCTAAACCGATTTTTCCCAATTTCAATAGAGCGTTAAAGCACATCTAACGGTGGCCAAACCTGGAGTAACGGCCAGGAAGGTTCTACTATGCATTTGGTGGGCGTGGAAGGGGATTATTAATTATGAGTTGCTTCCATATCGTCAAATGCTAAATTCTTATCTATACTGTCAACAACTGGACCGTTTGAAGATAGCAATTGACAAGAAACGGCCACAATTGACAAACAGAAGAGGTGTCGTGTTCCACCAGGACATCGCTATTCCACAAACATCTGCAGTGACTTGCCAGAAACTTCGGGTGCCTGGTTGGGAAGTTTTAATGCATCCGCCATGCAGTCCGGTCTTGGCACCAAGCGATTATCATCCTATTCTTGCATTGAAAAATTTGTTTAATGATAAACCAGTAAGCGGAGCAGTATAGTCGGACGGGGCCGACCATATGATACCCTACACAACTACCAGGGAACTCTAACTTTCTTGGGATTTTTATTTCGAGCCTGAGCAATATTTTCTGCCCGATTAGAGGTCAACAGCACCTCTTCCTTTCACTGACATATTTTCCGAATATTACTAATATTCAGTACAGTCCTTCTATTTAATTGTTCAGATTCCCTTCACCGTGGTTTGTGTCTATAGATCGACTTGAGAAATCAAAAAATTGGTTTTAGGTCCGCTTATTATTATCTAATCATCACGGAAAATTGAAGATGTCGTCATTGACCATAACTAGAAAATCCTGGAAAATTTCAAAGCGATCAGCCCTATTTACGCCCTCAAGTGTAGTAATGGGTTACCAAATAATACCTGAATACGCAAGCAACTGTAAGTCTTTACTCACGACAATATAATTGATATCAGTTTAAAGGTCAACCACTCCTCTTGGATACATTATCAACTTCTCGGGTCTATGTGCTTCAGGAGTAAAAATATACGCCATAGAATACAACATTTGTGATTTTTCACACACTGACTGAACGATATTTCTCAAAACAGGCATGTTGTTCTTTGGCCCGATCCCCTTCTCCATGTAAAAAATCGCGATATTTGGACCATAATTGCGGCCTCTGGAGCGACCAGAAAATCAGACAAAAATAAAGTTTTTGGTCCATTTCATTTCCTAAATATTAACCGATCTTTTTCAAAAACAATAGGGGTCTTCATTGGCCAGAACCCATCCATAAATGTGGCCTGTATCATGTTTACAAATTATAATGGATAGACGGACATGGGGACGGACACACACGTCTAGATCGACTCAGCCAGTATAGATATGACGATTCGGTATGCGAAACTTGCATATGCGAATTAAATTCAAATTTGTCAAAGTTCGAAATTTGTCTTCAATTCTGGGAACAGTCCTTTTCAAAGCAGATTTTTGTTGTAGCGATGAATAACTAATCCACACAGCTACAATTGCTTCCATGGCACTTCCAAAAATGGTTGCGCAAAAACATGTGTATGCCATGGATGGATTAATTATCCATCGCTACAACAAAAATCTGCTTTGAAAAGGACTGTTCCTAGAATTGAAGACAAATTTCGAACTTTGACAAATTTCAATTTAATTCGCATATGTAAGTTTCGCATCAGGGCGGAATAAATACAAGTTATCAACATACGACCTTTGTAAAAGGCACATAGCCTAATATGCCTGATGAGCCGCTTAACCAACGGCGAAACGCGCCGCATAATGGTGGGTACGTAGGTTCTTCTCCTGGCTTTCCTTTTCATTGCAAAACTTAGATCATTAAGCTGGACTCGAAAGAGTCACATTAAGACATATATTTAAATATAAATCGATTTCAAAAAAAAAAAAAAAAACCTTAACACACATAATTCAAAATAGTATCCCAATCGGGGATCGGGGATAATATATCGGATCGGATATTATGCACTATTTACATACAATCGGACGAAACTATATATGTGAGCTATATATGAGTCTGAGCCGATTCTGTACGCTGTGCATAATTTTGTCTCAATCAAACAATCCTTGGGAGTTTGGTGCACCACTTAGATAAAATCGGACGAAACTATGTATGAGAGCTATATCTAAATCTGAACCGATTTAGATATGTCTTCGCTGATATCAAGCTGGACCTAATTCTGTACGCTGTGCAAAATTTTTATGTCAATCGGAACAATATTGGGACTTTGGTGCTCCATTAGCATAAAATCGGACGAAACTATATACGGGAGCTATATCTGAATCTTAACCGATTCCAACAAAACTTCACATACATCAATCTAGACTTAAGTCAATACGCTGTACAAAATGTTGTTTGGATCGGACTAATATTGGGAGTTTGGTGCTCCATTTACATAAAATCGGACGAAACTATATATGGGAGCTATATGTGCATCTGAACCGATTCCAACAAAACTTCGCATACATCAATCTCGACTTAAGTTAATACGCTGTGCAAAATTTTGTATCAATCAGAAAAATATTGGTCCACCAGTTAGTTAAAATCGGACGAAACTATATATGGAAGCTATATCTAAATCTGAACCGATTTCAACAAAACTTCTCATAAATAAATACGGACCTAATTCAGTACGCTGTACACATTTTTTTATACCCTCCACCATAGTATGGAGGGTATATTAATATTGTTTTTCCGTTTGTAACTCATCGAAATAATCATTTCCCACCCTATAAAGTATATATATTTTTGATCAGCGTAAAATTCTATGACGATATAGCCATGCCCGTCTGTCTGTCTGTTCGTCTGTCTGTTGTAATCACTCTAGCGTCTAAACGAATTGAGATAGATCGCCAAAATTTTGCATAGAGTCGTCTTTTGTCTGCAGGCATGTCAAGTTCGATGATGGGCTTTATCGGTCCAGGTTTAGGCATAGTCCCCATATAAGGGTATCCCCAATTTTCGGTATTTTGGGGTTCTTGAGCGCGTTTTTCAACTGAATTCGCTGAAATTTGGTACATTGAGTTCTTATTGGGTAGCAAATCTCTCCACTGAAAATTATAAATATGAGTCCATATTTTCGGATAGCCCTCATATAAGGGTACCCCCAATTTTGCGGTATTTTGGGGGATTTGATTGCATTTTTCGACCGAATTCCCTGAAATTCGGTACTTTGAGTTCTTATTGGGTAGCAAATATCCATATAACCCCCTTTTTTATACCCTCCACCATAGTATGGAGGGTATATTAGTTTTTTTATATTAAAATAGTTATCTTATTTGTTCCGTGTGTTGGGGTTGGGTAGTCGTTAGACTATTCAGCCATCTGTTGTATGCATTCCGCCTTCTAAAGATATTGTGATAAAAGAAAACTCAAACATGACGATAATGAAATATATCGGCAGACATTTAGGCATCTCCTCAATATAATGATACCTCCTGAAGGAAAGAATTGAGATAAACAATTAAAATATTGGGTTCAATATTGGCATATACCGGTCATTAATTAAGTATAGACCTCATGTAATGATATCCCCACATATTGACTATTTCCTACACTATGTAATCAATGTTGGTTCCCCTTTAGACATAGCCTCATATAACTTTGTAATCTAAATTACAGTAGTTTGAGGATTTTATACTCTACCATGCATTATCAGTATCAGTCCACTCAACTCGTTATAATATTCGTTGTTTGGTGCACTATTTAAATAAAATCGGATGAATATATATATGGGAGCTATATCTAAATCTGAACCGATTTTCTTCAATCTCAACTGGGATCATCCTTGGGTCAAAAAGGTGATCTGTGCCAAATTTTATCTAAATCGGATCATAAATGCGACCTGTACTTTGTTTGAAATTTAATACGGACAGACAGGCTTAAATCGGGTCATGCATAAAAATTAATTCTTGAAACCATATATTCTCTAAGTCGTTTTCTTCAAACCATACTTACTGTACGCCATCACTGGCTACCACTCTGTATCCTTTGTTAATTTACCATAGCCCTTTTCTCCTAGCAATTTTTCATACTTCATTACTGCAGCAAAACATTTTTTGACTGCAGTAGCAAAACATTAATTAATTAAAAACCTTGAAGACAATATTTTGCACTTTACTAACACTTCAAATTCCTACCTACCGTCCAAAAGCCGTCCAAAAGAAAACTTCAAAATGTTCTTCTCACCAAAGTGGTAGTATGCCGAAAAAAACCCCGGTCATTATAATTAGTTTTGTTGCAATAAATTTAATGAAGAAAGTAGCACTGAAGAACCGTTATTCTCCTCTCAATGAAAAAAAATTGTCATTGTGACTCCACCTCTTCATTAGTCTAATGTCAAAATAATGAGCATCAAAATTAATGGTAGTTTTATGCGAAAACAAATCAAGAAGGCCCTCTGCCAACGAAAGGTGAACATAAACGAAGAAAAATTCACTACAAGAAAATGTTGGCAATAGACAACAAAGTGAAAGAGGGAAAAAGAGAGGGCGAAAAATCGTACTGTAAAATGAGCGATAATAAAAGGACAATGGCCTTTTATTTCATAAAAAGTAATTGCTGTAATTTGCTGTTTTTCGTTTATTTTTTTAATTCTCATTTCTACCTTTGCTAATTTCTTTGGTTCTGACGGAAATTTGAAGTAGGTGAAAATATAAGCATTGTCAGAAAGAAAGTGGGCGCAACGAGAAGCCTCTTAAGAGAAGAGGATTTTCTAAAGAGAGGAAATATATGTTAGGAATGTGTTTTAAGTATTTTTAAATAAAAAATGGATTTTATTTAGATTTTTTAATATATATATATTTGATCTTTAAGATATATATATATATATATATTATAATGAGTACACGGATTTACAGACCTATACTACCTAACCTAATTTAAATTTGCATTTAAATTTCTGTTTCAGGCCCTAATCATTGGCATACGAAAATGTGGTACCCGAGCTTTACTCGAAATGTTATACCTACATCCGCGCATACAAAAAGCTGGTGGCGAGGTACATTTCTTCGATCGCGATGAGAACTATATGAAAGGCCTTGAATGGTATCGCAAGAAAATGCCGCATTCATTTCGTGGACAAATAACTATTGAAAAATCTCCAAGTTATTTTGTATCGCCCGAGGTAAGTAGATGGAAAGTGGTTATAACTTAAACGAGAATTATTTTATATTTGTGATGGAGTGATTGGGTCCATAAGGATTTTCCCCCGAAATTCTTATAAATATATTTTCTGATGGTCTATACGAGTAATAATCTTATATATGAAATCATATTTTTGAAAGACCAGCAGATCTATTAAAATGGATTTTTAAAGAACATTGCAGAAGAACTACCATATATGTAAGATGGTAAAAGTTCCGATCGTATTTACGTATTTTATGTATAGAGTATAAAAAGTTCGGAGTGTAGAATTTATCGAAGATTTTAATTTTTATACCCTACACAACTATGTTGTCAGGGTATTATAGCTTTGTGCAGCCCCAAGAGTTTGCAACGCCGCAAAATATTGGCCCTAGATCCACCTTTAAGTATACCGATAGTCATATCTCGACTAGCTGAGTCGATCTAGGCATGTGTGTCCGTCCGTCTGTCCATTATAATTTGTAAACACGATACAGGCCACAGTTATGGACCAATCTTCACAAAATTTTGCATGTAGGATGGGTTCGGCCCAATGAAGACCCCTTTAATTTTTTGATAGAGATCGGTTAATATCTAGGGGATGAAATGGACCAAATACTTCATTTTTGGCGGTTTTTCTGATCGCTCCAAAGGCCGCATGGTGCAAACATTGCGAATTTTTACATGGAAAAGGGAATCGAGACAAAGAATAAGCATGTCTGTTTTGATAATGATCGGTCAATATTTAGCGTGTCAAATGGACCCAGACTTTTGTGTGAAAAAATACAAATTTTGTATTTTATGGCGTATATATTTACATCTGAAGAACATAGACTCGAGAAGTTGATAGTATATCCAAGAGAAGTGGCTGACCTTTAAATTGATACCAATTATATGGTCTTATGTACTCGGATGTGGGAGTTACACGTAAATTTTTAAAGGTGTTTTCGTACTCAGGTATTATTTAGTGAGCCATTACCACACTAGAGATCAGAAATGTATATTGAATTTTTCGGTGATGATCAGATAATAATTTTGGCATGAATATTTTTTTTGCGTTTTTTCGAGTCGATCTATATGCCACAATTAAAACCCGAACATCCGAACCCACGGGGAAGGGAATCTGGCCAAGTAATTAGAAGGGCTGTACAGAATATTAGTAATATTTGTTGACCTAGTGGTCAAGAAGGTGCAAATAACGCGAAATTTTGCCCATGCTCAGAATATAGAACAACAGAAAGTTAGATTTTCGTGGAAGTTGTGTAGGGTATAATATGGTCGGCCCCGTCCGACTATAAAGCTCCGCTCACTGGTTTTATTTTGTATTCCTTTCCGTAGAAACAGTAAATTTTTGGTTTTTGGAAGACCAGATTCCATTTAAAAGAAGTGAAAATAAGGTTCACTCTTTATTTAAGATTTGAAAGGCTATTTTATTCTGTTTGGATTTAGAGACAAAGCCGCTGTATGTTTTTGAAAGCTGAGTAGATATTTGCTGACCCTCTCTGGAGGAGAGAAAATTATATTAAAATTAAAAGCTATCAGCTGCGTAAATTGTATACAAAGTACAGGTCACATTTTTGATTCGAATTGGATGAAATTCGGCACAGCCCAAGGACGAACCCTATTGACATTGGGAAACATCGGTTCAGATTTAGATAAATAGTGCACCAAAGTCCCTATATATCCTTCGATTTGCACGAAATTTGGCACAGCTTACTGAATTAAGCCTAGAAAGATGTGTGTTAAATTTCGTAAAAATCGGTTCAGATTTAAATACAGCTCCCATATATATTTTCGTCCGATTTTATGTAAATGGTGCACCAAAGTCATTAAATATGCTTCGATTTGCACGAAATTTGGCATAGCGTACTGAAGTAAGTCTAGAAAGATGTGTGTTAATTTTCGCGAAAATCGGTTCAGATTTAGATATAGCTCCCATATATATTTCGTCCGATTTTAGGTAAATAGAACACCAATGTCCCTATATATCCTTCGATTTGCACGAAATTTGGCACAGCGTAGTGAATTATGTCTAGAATGATGTGTGTTAAATTTCGTAAAAATCGGTTAAGATTTAGATATAGCTCCAATATATATTATCGTCTGATTTTATGTAAATGGTGCACCAAAGTCCCTAAAAATGCTTCGATTTGCACGAAATTTGGCATAGTCTACTGAATTAAGCAAAGAAAGATGTGTGTTAAATTTCGTAAAAATTGGTTTAGATTTAGATATAGCTCCAATATATATTATCGTCCGATTTTATGTAAATGGTGCACCAAAGTTACTATATATCCTTCGATTTGCACGAAATTTGGCACATCGTAGTGAATTATGTCTAGAATGATGTGTGTTAAATTTCGTGAAAATCGGTTCAGATTTAGATATAGCTCCCATATATATTATCGTCCGATTTTATGGAAATGGTGCACCAAAGTTCTTAAATATGCTTCGATTTGCACGAAATTTGGCATAGTCTACTGAATTAAGTCTAGAAAGATGTTTGTTAATTTTCGTGCGAATCGGATCATATTTAGATATAGGTCCCATATATATTATCGTCCGATTTTATGTAAATGGTGCACCAAAGTCCCTATATATCCTTCGATTTGCACGAAATTTGGATTTTTATGTAAATGAAGAACTCGAAATGTGGCCGAATGCACAAAACATACTGAAATAAGTGTAACCAAGCATGTGACAAGTTTCGATGAAATCGTTTTAGATTTCGATATTTTGCTTTAAATTTAGTTACGTAATTTTGTCCCACTGTACGAAACAACTCTATATCTGACCAAAATTTAGTATAGGTTGCAGAATGACATGTTTAATTTCATGTTAATGGTCCTTCTAAAATGCGACGTCTGTTAGGATTCCATCTGTTGAATATACCCAAAGTGGTGAAGGGTATCTTATAGTCGGCTCCGTTCGACTTTAAAGCTTTCCTTACTGGTTAAAATGCTTTTTCAACGAATTTCAGAGAAGTGGATTTTTTAAAAATAATTTTTCAACGACTTTCAGAGGCGTGGATTTTTAAAAGAATATTTTTTTCAGCGGCTAGCAGAGACATAGATTAAAAAAAATAAAGACTATTAGAGGTGATGATAATCCACGTCGAAATTAAGGAATTATTTTTATTTATTTATTTTTTTTTTGACAATTTGATCCTTCACGACACTGTAAACAACACAACACATTATCGTACCTCAACCCTACATTATTTAAAAATTGATTAATTAAAAAAGGGTCATTAAAAATTTATACAAAAAAGTATTTAAAACTCATAAAATCTAAAACATGACAAAAGGGCTTAATTAATAACAGCTTCAACTAATTATAACCTACAAAAAAACCCGAACACTAATTGCATGTAACGTTTTATATAATTGTCATGTATTCGCAGACTGGCCCACTTCAAAATTCATTTTTTTTCTCACTCGAAAAATAATAGCTACAACAACAAATCTATATCCTTTGAAAATCAAACACTCCGTCATTCAACTTCAAACCAAATCATAGCAACTTCATTGCAATAATTATTGCTATTCACCGTTAAAATGGCATAAATAATTGTAAATTCACACACACGCGCGCGCACTCAAACACACACAACTACATGTGTTATATTTGTATGAATTTATGTCGGCAAATTGAATGTGTCTGCTATAATTTCATTCGCTTTGTTGCAACTCTTTTCGTCTGGTTATGAATGAATTGAAAAATTCTGGTGGTATGGTGGATGAGTGAGTATGTGAGTGAGTGTGAGCATGAATGTGACGTTGCTCATTCATTTATTATCAAAGCAAAGCTAGGGCTCGAGCTAAAACTTTCATCTCAATTAGCTAATTAATGAATGAACAATAATTATTGCTGCCGCCAAAGCAGTTAGTACATGCATACATGTGTTCTTTTTCTACACATGGCCATTGAAATGCTCACGTTTGTGCCGCTTCATATTCCCAACAGAACATACCAGTCATTTATCTTTTGAATGGAAAATGTGTGTATGTATGTTTGCTGCAAAGGCATACACCGGTATTTGACTCCATAATTAAATTGAAAATGGCATTACAACACAAATTTCTGTCATTATTCGATTGGTCACGATTTCGAGATGGCTTAAATTTTGAAATTTCAATTTTGTGAATTGGTTCAAACATAAAACTGCAGTAAGAAATCTATCTATAAGCTGCGGCAAGATACCTGTCTAGGGACGATATTTAACAGGTATTACATATACTTTTTATACCCTTTACCACACTGTGGTACAGACCCATGGTTCCTTTTGAGAATATGCATAGAATCACTTTCTGAGTCGATTTATGCATGTCCGTCTGTCCGTCCGTACGTTCGTCCGGCTATCCGTCCGTCCATATATTTTTGTTAACAAAGTACAGGTCGCATTTATGATCCGATTTGGATGAAATTTGGCACAGGCCGCTTAATTGGCCAAAGGACAAACCCTATTGAAATTGGGAAAAATCGGTTCAGATTTAGATATAGCTCCCATATATAATTTCGTTCGATTCAAGGTAAATAGTGTTCCAAAGTCCAAATATATCTTACGATTTGTACGAAATTTGACACAGCGTAATCAATTAAGCCTAAAATGATGTGTGCTAAGTTTCGTAGAAATCGGTTCAGATTTAGATATGGCTCCCATATATATCATCGTCCGATTTAAGGTAAATGTGAAACAAAGTCCCTATATATATTTCGATTTGCACGAAATTTGGCAAAGCGTAATGAATTAGGTCTAGAATGATGTGTGTTATGTTTCCTGAAAATCGGTTCAGATTTAGATATAGCTCCCATGTATATATTCGTCCGATTTAAGGTAAATTGTGTTCCAAAGTCCAAATATATCTTTCGATTTGCACGAAATTTGGTACAGCGTACAAAATTAGGTCTAGAATTATGTGTGTTAAGTTTCCTGTAAATAGGTCCAGATTTAGATATAGCTCCCATATATATTTACTTCGGATTTTATGTAAATGGTGT